TCTGAGGAGGGGGGAAGGGCGGAGGGACGGGGCGGGATGTCCCGGGCAGAGGAAACGGGACAGAAGGAGCAGGGGCCAGACGTGCATGAAGCACAACGGAGGGCCTTGTTGTGTGGCCTGACTGCCTTGAGGCAGGGCCAGTTTGGACGATTATACGTGATAATCTCACGTCTACTAATTAGCAGGAGTAACTTCGGCGTAGAACGAATAGGTGGACTCACCGGCAACGATCACACGCTTCGTCAACACCAACCGCGATCCAACGACCAGGCTCGGACTTCATCTTCTCCCACAAGTACTCTTCTTCCCGCAGTGATCTCTTCACCCGTTTGGGCGAAGGCTCCCCTCTGGGAGAAGGGGGGGGAGCAGCGACGGGGGCGGCGGCAGCAGGACCGGCGGCGGCGGGGGCGGGGGCGGCAGAGCGGGCGATGGCGGCGGCAGGGCGGGCGGGGGCAGCAGCGGCGGCAGCGGCGATGGCGTTGGGGGGGGGGAGAACCCCGGAAGAGGAAGAAGAAGAGGAAGAAGAAGAAGAGGAAGAAGAAGAAGAAGAGAGGGAACGGCGTCGTTTCTGGCCCACAATTTGAGCAGGGGGAGGGGCAGGACCGGCTGCGAGTTAGCAATGTCTTGGAGAGCTAAAGAACAGATAAACAAGGCCAAGTTCGGCGAAGGTGTGAGGGGTTGGACGAAGAACTCACGCTCAGGACTATCTACGTTGTTGTCCTCTACACTAATCACCTCCACATCATCATCCGGGTATTCTTCTAACTCGCTTTCACCCTCACTATCGATCCTACCCTCCCCATCATCATCATCCTCACTTTCTTCGGTGTCGGGTCGATCACCCGACTCCGAGCCCCCACTGAGCGAGACTCACCAGGACGAAAGGCGGGCGTCCTACGGCGAGGAGTGGCGGCAGGAGGAGGCCCTCCAGGAGAACCCGAGGCCCTCCAGGAGAACCCGTTACGGGGACGGGAGAACCAGCGGAGGGAGAGGCGGAGCGAGGGGGCGGGGCAGCGCCAGACGGCTCCCCCAGAGAGAGAGTGCCGAGGCCGAGGGAGGAGACTTGGCGAGATCTGTCGCCGAAAGAAACTGAACATCAGCCAAGTTCGGCGAGGTAGGGTGAGTATCGATGAAAACTCACGAGCAGATGACACCATACCACCAAAGTTCCTCATGGCGGCGAAAGGGCTGGGTGTAGGAGTAGAAGGGGCCATGACGTTAAGATATTTAAATGAGAATAAAACTCGAGGCGATGATTCAAGGTAACAAATCTGTTTTCTAGGTAAGAGAGATAGAAAGTTTTGAAAGCAGATGGGAAAAAGAGAGAAGCTCGACGAACTGCTCAGTATTTAGTATAATCAAACCTAACCCCTCGTCGTCAACATGCAGCAAACTTCGCGTTTCATCAACAAAAGGCATCGCAGGGACGATCAAAATTCCCACGCTATAGTGTCTCATCTCAATATAAGCGAGGGTTACTTCGACAAACAACGGTGTTGTTCGGCTGCCATTCAGGAAGCGTGTCTCACCTACAAAAAAGACACAGGGCTTCTTACGGCAAACCTCGACGAAGTTAGGGGAGTCTCATTGTCGGGTTCTGGAGTGAAAGGAGGCCCAACTACGAAGTGCGGCGCAAAGAGCAGAAGAGTGGAGGATGGTCATGGGGAGGGAGAGAATGGGGGTACTACGCTGCTAAGTTCTCTTGCCACGACAGAGGTGTAATCGCTCACGAGGACGTTCGCGGCTAAAGAAGGGGGCGACTGTCACGAACTACGTCGTGACACCTCGATTACTCCACCAACAATGACCCTCCTTTGGCCATCAAAACCCCATCACGCCTTAACCTCTTTACTCTACACGTAACTCAGGACTTCTGACACCAAGTACGGCGAAGTTAGACGGAGTTAGGCTAAGTAGGGACAATGGGAGCAGAAGTACGGCGAAGTTAGACGGGGTTAGGCTAAGTAGGGACAATGGGAGCAGAAGTGCGGCGATGTTAGGCGGAGTTAGGCTAAGTAGGGACAATGGGAGCAGAAGTGCGGCGATGTTAGGCGGAGTTAGGCTAAGTAGGGACAATGGGAGCAGAAGTGCGGCGATGTTAGGCGGAGTTAGTCGAAGGAGGAAGAGGATGGCCGAGGGCTTGGGGAAGTTGGACGAAGTGCGTTGAAGTACGTCAAAGCGCGAGAGGGTTGGATGAACGTCTAGGAGGAGTAGATAATATTAGCTGAGAAGATCGCTGAAGTTCTTCAGCGATCCTTGATTGTTGTCAGTAGTAAAAGACAAATAGAGATAGCTATACATCGGGATACATCGCCATCAATAGAACAAAGCCTTAGTTAGAGTAACTACGCCGAAGTACGCCGTAGTTACACTCCTTTCGACGTCTGCGCCCTCCTGGTTGGGTGAGACATCGACTCAGAAGCGTGAAGTTAGCCGAGGTTCGTCGACCGTCGGTCTATTAGGAAGAAGTTGCTCGACGGCCGTGACACAAACTGAGAAAGATCGTTAGTCCAACCGTTTGACTTCGTTCATGACTCTTGAAAGATACCCTCATGACTTGAAAAAGTGATGAGGCCATGGGTTTTACAATATTACTCTGCTCCCAAAGGTCAGTCCGTGGGGACAAGTAGAGAAGGCGAGTGGAGTAGGTTTCATCAGAGTTGCCTTCCACGGGAAATGAGCGGGTCTCTCCCTACGTCATCCAACCGGGGAGGCGGGCAGACGGGTTTCAAAAAAAGGTAGAGGAAAGTAAGGGGAAAGGGGGAAGAAGTGAGGAAAGTGGGGATAGAGGAAAGACGTGATTGGAATAGATTTGATGAAAGGTGGGCGCTCTGGGAGGCATGCTTCAGTGGAGACTTCAGGACAGAGACCATAAGATACTCACAAAGTCAACATCTGTGTTCCAACTTAGGGGAATATATTGCCACTGGTCACGTCCGCACATTGCTAATATGAGTTTATACAGTACACTCAAAGACTTAGGCGAGGACTTCAACCTGCCCCGTCGAGCCAGTCAATCTCAAGGAGTGTTTCTTATATGTACACAAGTCAATCACGAAATTCACAGATGACAGGCATCTCACAGACAAGATGCTTCAGCAGACACACACTGTATCCTTTGAGTATGATCCCAACTTTCAATCTCATGATACAACCCTTGGGGAGGCAGACAGTGATTTTACTTTTGCTTGGGTTATAACCCGCAGCCATCAACAGAAAGAAGACCTAGATTCAAAACACATAAGTACAAAGCTTGACTACCAGTCCAGGGTCATTAAACACAAGAACCTTAACTTGCCTGGAGGTCCTACAATAACTCCGGAGGTGAGCTTATATGCTTTACAAAATGAATACCGCAAACACCCCATAATCCGCCGTGCAATCATGAGCTTTCATCAGAACAAGTATGGTCTCAGCTGGGAAGCAATCACTGACCCTCACTTATCCAGAGAGCTTGAATGGCAGCTCCTGACAGAGTGTGCAATACGGGCATCGGCCATACATGGAACCTGGAGTTTGCCATCAACTTTGAAGTATGCAGTATGTTTGAAAGATGACCTCCATCGATTATATAATGGAACAGCTAGGCTCATACCTACCGAAAGCTTCCCAAATGTAATGCAGGTGGTGTCTTCAGCTGATTGATGACCAATAGCCTGGAGTACTCTGAATGTGAGAGAGTTTGATATTGAGGAATGGAGTACCTATTTGAACAGCATGCATGTATTGGGAAAGAGTATGTGTTATGTGCATTCAATCATCAAGCGGGCATTGGAGTACATAGGTGATAAGATTGTTTGCTTCCAGTCATTCCTCATTCACACCGTGCAGGACTTGTCACAATTCCAAGTGATGTGATGTATCTTCTACATCTGTTAGAGCATTTTGAGCTCTCCTTACACCCTCAATGTCGGTACCGTCTCATCTATCTTACATAACTTGGTCTTCCAAAGCAAGAGCTGGCCCAGTGATGAGAATTGGGAGTAGAATTTGCTGGCGGTCCACAGATGTTCTAATTGAGCCTGTGTGGCAACCCTCACAGCATCAACTTGTTAAATTTGATTTCCAAGATATAACGGGCATATGAATCACACGGTGACACAAACATGGTGTGGAAAGTGAGCTAGTCAATGACCTGGTTGGCTGACACCCTTAGAAGGAAAGTAGCGGGAGAATGAAGAGCACCTTCTTTCAAGGGGATGGTATTTGTGCACAGCTATAATCGATAATTACATCTCCTGTAGATCCCCTTCTCTTCAAGTCATAAGATATCAAGTGTAAAACACGTTCCCACAATCTTGAGAAGGTGAGAAAATGGCAAGATGGGATGTATGATTTCCGCCTGAAAATGACCCGCGCGAGCTTCGAGAACTCGTGTCCTGTCTTTCTCGTAGCGGAGTCCGGATGAAAAGTGGCAAGAGTACAAGCCATCGTAAGGGTTTGTCTGTTTTTCTGACTTTCATCTTAAGAATTCCTAGCACATTCCCTGACACCTCCTGTGGTCACCCCTAAAGCGCGACCCATGAAGTGGTTCGTTGCAACATACCTGATTGTCATCTGAAGATGGGTTGTACCAATTAGTCACGCCCGGATAGCAAGCCTGCAATCATCAACCGTCCGAAAGGGGCAGTATCAACTCTGCTAGTGAGAGCTGATCTTGCTATAAGTACTGATCATGACACTTTCACCCTCCATGCAGGGCAATGGGAGAGACGGGGAGACGGGGAGTATGAAATTGCCCAATGCGGACGAAGAAGGGATCAAATCTGACCGTGATTCCGCCTGTTCCCACTTTTGGCCCTCTTTTCTCTTCAAGAAAGCTGTGCATTCTTTCCCACCAGGAAGAAAGCTTCTCTCATTGGGTGGAATGGATTGTGAAGATCCCACATTCTACTATCACTTCATCACCATTGCGGTTCCTATTACGGCATTACAATTGCTGTGAATAAACATATACAAACAAGAAGGATTTCAAGTTGGCAGTGAGTCCTAGGCCCACTATGCCTGATCATGTCACCTCAGCAGTGATGTATGTGGCCCATCCTGAGAACTGCGGATGTTGGGCGGTAAGTCACTATTGCTCAAACGTTGCTTGCCTCTCATTTTGCCTCTCAGACAGCGACGATATGCAACAACGGGGCAACCATGAGGCGACTCTCACGTCTAGGAGACGGGCCTTGGGATACCTTGACTTGTGGAGAACACTCCACAAAGAACTTGTAGCTTCAGTGCAGAATGCTGATGTGATGAGGTGTGTTGGGGCTTTCGAGCCCATATTGGTGACAGCGCCGTGGGATACAATGGCTGCTACAAGTGGTCCTGCACCAAGCACTTTGGAAGAGCAGGTACTGACTGGACCAAAGGCTTTGATGCTTGTCTCATGTCAACTAGGGGTGAATAACCCCCAGAATGCAAGCGCAACACCGTATGCTGTTTGGCCCCCTAAAATTCCATTGCCTCCTTACACAAGAGTTATGATCTGTGAGCGAGAACAAACTCTGGAACCTCAAGACTTCAACCAACTCCTTACGTGCATGAGATACACTTTGAGCCTCACCGCTTCATTGGAGTACTGCACAAATCCAGAGCTAATCTCAAAGATCATAGGGGGACAGCTTGCCTTTCAGATCAATAATGCTCACAACACCTCTTTACCCGACTCAATCCTTTGGGCCAGCATACCTTGTAGAGAGAGGATATTATTTGATGATAGCACGTCTATAGCAGGGAGTAGGGCACTGCTCAGGGTAGGACCGTGGATCTCAGAGGCAATTCTAGACTTGAATGAAAAACTGGCAGGAGAGACAGCTCCAAAGTCTCACCTGACTGACCTGAGAAGCACCCAAAGAGCCAGGAGGAGTGAACAAACAGCATGAGCACAGCAATTTGATGTTGTGACTGCACCCCTAGTCTTAGGTCTTGGTCACTTCAAAGGTTACTGTAAAGAAATGACCCACTCAAGTATCTCCACAGATCATTGGTTGTACTGTTAAGGGGTAACAACAAATCAGAGTAGGTTAGAAGGACGGATTTGGAGGGAGTGCGCAGTAGGTGTCAGGACCAGACGTTGGAGATAGTCTGTGTCTATGAGCTATGGCTATGAGACGGAATTCTAGTCCTTAGGCACGTACGCTTTGAGTCTGTACCTGACACGAAGGCGGTAAACTCCGCTGGGAGTAATAATACATAGCTAGATTAGTACCTGTTGTCTCTTCATCACTCATACGAAAGTGCTGAATGAGCAACAGGTAAGTACATGCATCACTCATACGAAAGTGCTGAATGAGCAACAGTCAAACCGACGATTCCGTCTTGGTAACGTCTCGTGTTAAATTGATCCTCTGGCTTCAGCATCCAATTCAGCATTGATCCAACCATGTCCGACTTCGAGATCGAGACCATGGTACGCGGGACCACAAAGCTCAGCGGTCCAGACGATTACACAGCCTGGAAACGATCGCTTCAAGCAGCATTGGCTGGCAAAAAACCTCATTGAACATATCTCCGAGACTTTATCCACCATTCAGGCATCCACTAGCCTTCGGTACCCGCTCAGCAATCCTCCAACCGCCTCAGAGCAGCAGAAGCTTCAAGCTGCGCTCTATCGAGACAAACAGAGCCAAGGTACAACCTTTGGCATTATATACCACTCGCTTTCAACCACTGTTCAGAACCGAGTGCCCGACTCCCTCGTCCAGTGGCTCAAACCTGACCCGAAGGCGCTCTACACCTGGCTGCAGACAACCTACAGTGCCAGCACCGCAGCAAGGCAGGCAGAGCTATGGAGAGACGCTTGGGGAACAAAAGTAGAGGAGAATGAGGATCCCCAGACCGGTCTGGGGGCTATCCGAGCCAAGCTGGGCGAAGTATCGGCTTCAGCTGTGGCCAGCAAGATGTCCTTGGGAGATTTTATCGACAATATGACCGCCTATGCCATGCTTGCCTCCCTGCCACCTTCCTACGGCATGCTCGCCTCCACACTCCTCTCCACAACTACTTCAACCTCCATCACCTCCGACCAGGTCCTATCGGCTGCCGGACTCGAATACCGACGCAGGAACATGCAGGGAGAGGAGGTGAATGGACAAGGCTTCCTTGCGCGGAAGAGTGAGAAGAAAACACAGTTCAAGGGGCAGAATCAAGGGCAGAGAAGGATGGGCAAGGATGGCAAGCCGCTACTCGGGAGAGATGAGACCAAGTGGTGTGAGGAACATAAGCGGTATGGGCACGACCTTAGTGGCTGCTACCGACGAATGGAGCAGATGAAAGCTGGAAAACAAAGCGATGGAGGGAGAGCACAAGGCGGCAAGGTAGCAATGACAGCAGGAGAGGAGGAGGAGATCAATGAGGACGCTTACATCGCTCTCGCTTCAACCACTACCTCTGGCAACCCCCACAAGATCATCATCGACTCAGCCTCCTCAGACCACTTCATATGCGACAAGACCCTGCTCCACAACCTCTCTCCTCTTGCCAGACCGCTCAACATCAAGGTTGGCAATGGCCAAACCATCACATCCACTCAGTCTGGCACGCTCTACATCGGCAAGGTCGCCTTCAGCAATGCCTACTATGTCCCCTCAATGATTCACAACCTCCTGGCGGTTAAGCGACTCGGCAATACCTCTGGATATCATTGGACCTTCACCGACACCAAGGCTTGGCTCAGCGACGAGACTGGACGCCATCTGATCGAGGGGGAGCTCAGCAATGGCCTCTATGTGGTGCGTTCCCATCATATTGCCATGTCAGCAACCGCTGATCGACCCTCTTGGCACTGCAGGCTTGGTGTCACGGCCGTCGAGCAACTACTTTCTAATAGACCGACGGTCGACGAACCTCGGCTAACTTCACGCTCTGAGTCGATGTCTCACCCAACCAGGAGGGAGCAAACGTCGAAAGGAGTGTAACTACGGCGTACTTCGGCGTAGTTACTCTAACTAGGGTGTTGTTCTACTGATGGCGATGTATCTCGATTTATAGCTATCTCTATCTGTCTTTTACTACTGACAACAATCAAGGATCGCTGAAGAACTTCAGCGATCTTCTCAGCTAATATGACCTATCCCTCCTAGACGTTCATCCAACCCTCCCGCGCTTTGACGTACTTCAACGCACTTCGTCCAACTTCCCGAACCCCGGCCATCCTCCTCCTCCTTCGACTAAGTCCGCCTAATATCGCCGCACTTCTGCTCCCATTGTCCCTACCTAGCCTAACTCCGCCTAACTTCGCCGCACTTCTGCTCCCATTGTCCCTATCTACCCTAACTTCATCTAACTTCGCCGTACTTGGTCTCAGAGGTCCTGAGTTACGTGTAGAGTAAAAAGGTTTGAGTCGTGATGGGGTTTTGATGGTCAAAGGAGGGTCGTTGTTGGTGGAATAATCGAGGTGTCACGACGTAGTTCGTGACAGTCGCCCCCTTCTTTAGCCGCGAACGTCCTCGTGAGCGATTACACCCGTACTGTGGCAAGAAAACTTAGCAGCGCAGTACCTCCATCCTATCTTTCTCCAATTTTATCCCTCGTCCTTCTGCTCCCTGCGCCGTACTTCGTAGTTGGGCCTCCTTCCACTTTGAAACCCGAGAGTGAGACTCCCCTAACTTCGTCGAGGTCTGCCGTAACATACCCTGCGTCTTTTGTAGGTGAGACACGTCTCCCGGATGGTAGCCGAACAACACCGTTGTTTGTCGAAGTAACCCTCGTTTATATTGAGATGAGACACTATAGCGTGGGAAATTTGATCGTCCCTTTGTTTACCTTTTGTTGATGAAACGCGAAGCTTGCTGCATGTTGACGACGAGGGGGTAGGTCTGATTATACTAAATACTGAGCAGTTCGTTGAGCTTCTCTCTCTTCCCCATCTGTTTTCAAAACTTTCCATCTCTCTTACCTAGAAAACGGATTTGTTACCTTGACGTATCATCTTTTATTTCTTTAAGTATCTCTAACGTCATGGCCCCTCCTACTCCCACCTCTAACCCTTTCGCCGCCATGAGGAACTTTGGTGGTATGGTGTCGTCTGCTCGTGAGTTCTTCCTCGACACTTACCTTACTTCGCCGAACTTGGCTGATGTTCAGTTTCCTTCGGCGACAGGTCTCGCCAAGTCTCCTCCCTCGGCCTCGGCACCCTCTCTTTGGGGGAGCCGTCTGGCGATGTCCCGCCTCCTCGCTCCGCTTCTCCTCCCGCCGGTCCTCCCGCTGGTTCTCCCTCTGCTTCTCCTCCTGCTGGTTCTCCCTCTGCCTCTCCTCCTCCTGGTTCTCGCTCCGCTTCCCCTCCTGCCGGTTCTCGCTCCGCTTCTCCTCCTGCTGGTTCCCGCTCGGCTTCTCCTCCTGCCGCCACCCCTCGCCGCAGGACGCCCGCCTTTCGTCGTGGAGACTCCCCGTCCTCCTCCGACCAGGAGCCGCTCAGTGGTTCAGAGTCGGACGATCAGTCAGACTCCGAAGGAAATGGGGGTGATGATGATGATGAGGATGATAGAATCGTGTCGGAGGGTGAAAGCGAGTTAGAGGAACACTCGGATGATGATATGGTGGCGGTTAGTGTAGAGGACAACGATGGTGATAGTCCTGAGTGTGAGTTCTTCGCACATCCTCCTACACCTTCGCCGAACTTGGCCTCGTTTAACTGTTCTTCAGCTTCCTAAGACACTGCTGACTCATAGTCGTTCGCGTTTCCCCCCCTGCCCAAATCGTGGGCCAGAAACGACCTCGTGCCCTCTCCTCCTCTTCCTCTTCTTCTTCTTCTTCTTCCGGGGTTCTCCCCCCCGCCAACGCCATCGCCGCCGCTGCCGCCGCCGCTGCCTCTGCTGCTGCTCGCCGCCCTGTTGCCGCTCCTGTCGCCGCCGCTGCTGCTGCTGCTCCCCTCTCTTCTCCCCGAGGGGAGCCTTCGCCCAAACGGGCGAAGAGGTCATTGCGTGAAGAAGAGTATTTGTGGAATAAGTTGAAGTCTGAGCCTGGTCGTTGGGTGGCGGTTGGTGTCGATGAGGCGTGCGATCGGTGCTGGTCCCTCTGCTCCCCGGTTGTCCCTCTTCCACCCTCGTATCTCCCTGGACGTCCGTATTCCTGAGGACGAAAAGGAATTCGCCACTTATCGTTCTCTCGTCCTCGGTCTCACTACTCAGCTTGAGGCCGCCCGAAATGATACATCTCTCCTGCTTGACTTCTCTTCTCGTCAAGCTAACGCTTTAAACAATCTTACTGCGGCGTTAGTAGATGTAGTCAACACTGGGGCTCTGGACGACGAAGCAAGGACGAGGTTAGCGGACGTCTCTCGCCGAAGCCTTACTGAGATAGCCGATGTTCGCCGAAGACTGTTCGACACCCCCTTCCTAGTCACTCCTATGGCGTATGAGCCACCACCGTCCCTTGACTGGTTAGGTCGCCGTAGTAGTTCTCGTGTCCCAGCTTCCGCCCAGACTGCTCTCGACCTCCTCAGTCTTCCCTTCGAGTGTCTACGGACCATACGTTCTCTGTGGAGGACTCCGAGCATGCAAGCTGCTCGAGATGTCCAGGACTTCGGTGACTTCTTTGGGGCTATGAATCGGGCATGGAATGCTTCTCTCTCTACTGCGTTCCCGTCTGAGACTCTCGATCTACCTTCGGTCATCGGTAGCCTCCACACCAATCCCGCGGGACCGAGTAGATCGAAGGAGAAAGGAAAAGGAAAAGGTAAGGGTAAGAGTAAGGACAAGTGAGCGGTACGTAGCTGTAATCCTATGTTGTATGCAGTACGTTCTATCTCCTAGCCCTTCGCAGTCGCCCTTCCTTCGGCTTAGTAGGGTGAAGTTCGTGGAACTTCGCCAATATGTCATCAGCTCCATCGACGTTCTCCACTGGTTCCCATGATACTGAATCGTCTGTTCCTTCGTAACCTAACCACTCCACCAAGTACTCTAACTTTCCTGACCTCTTATTTACTCTAGAGTCCACAATATCCTTTACCTCCCAAGACTCTCCCACATTGTCTACTTCTACTGGCCCAGGTGGCTCAGCTTGCTGACCAGGAAATATTGGAGGGTGATAAGGACGGAGCAAGGAGACATGGAATACATCATGGATACCTGCCATCGTTCCTGGTAATTCCAATTTACAAGCATGAGAACCTACCTGCCGTACTACCTTGTACGGCCCACTTTGCTTAACATCTAACTTCTTCATTGGTCTCTTCGTCTTAATATTCTCTAACGACAGCATCACTAGGTCTCCTTCCGCGAAGTTCGGCGTAGTCCGGTGTTTCCTATTGTATCCTTCGGCGTACTTCTCATTAGCTTTCTCAATTCCTTCGATACAATCCTTGTGTATTTCAGTCAAGTCTTTTACCACCACCGTAGCAGCGGGCACTTCGACTTCACTGGCCTTAATTTCTTCAGCCCATCGAGGGTGGTACCCATAGTTCGCATAAAATGGTGTCTTATTTATCGCAGAATGATGGGTGTTGTTGTAGGCGAAGCTAGCTCGAGCAAGCAGCTTCGACCAATCGTTCTGCTGATAAGAAGTGAAGATTCGAAGGTAGAGCTCTAAGGACTGGTTGGTTCGTTCAGTCTGTCCATCAGTCTGCGGATGATATGCAGTAGAGAGATGTAGTCTTATTCCGAGACTATCGGTCAAGTTCTTCCAAAATTTCGAGGTAAACTTCGATCCCCTGTCAGACACTATGTTCTCTGGTAGCCCATGCTGAGCTACCACATAGGCCATTATCAACTCGGATAGGCCAGCTGCGGTTAATTTCGTCGTAGTCCGGATAAAAATGGCCCATTTGGTCAACCGGTCCACCACTACTAAGATGGAATTGTATCCATGGGAATTCGGGAGCTCTTCAATGAAATCCATCGAAATGCTGGACCATGGCTTCGTAGCCACTTCCAGTGGTTTAAGCTCTCCATGGGGTCTCTGCCTGTTAGTCTTTGCTCTCTGACACACCGCACATCCAGCGATGTAATCTTCAACATCCTTCCTTACTCCAACCCAAACGTAGTCCCGTAGGACTAGCTCGAGAGTCTTCGCTGAGCCTGGGTGACCCGCTAGGACCGAGTCATGCCGCGTCTTCATTATCTTTAGTCGAGCATCGGCGTAGTTCGGCACATAAGTTCGACCATCGAACATGAGGAACCCTCTTGAATTCCATCCCCCACGAAGTATTAAGGGGGACCGCGAGGTACGGCGTAGTTCGGTGACCGACCCTGGTTCCTGCACGTTATCATGACATGTTGGATGAGAGCACTTAGCACAGGTTACCCCCAATAATTCTTCTCTAACCTCCTCCACCTCTCCGTCTTCCTGTATTCCGACTATCAAATCCATAGGATCAATAAGGTCGTTCTCTCGCACTTCCTTTGTTCCTTGTAAGGCCCGAAGCAGGTGTTGTAACCCAGAGCTAGTGTTGTCAAGTTCGTCGAACTTCGGCAGACCTTGGATAAGGTTGCTCTCCTGTACCATAGTACTTCCTTTTCCTGAGTGGTAGTCTGCTCTTCTCGACAGTCCGTCCGGCAGTGTAGCTTGTTTTCCCGGTCGATACACCATTTTAAACCTGAAGTTAGAGAGCTCTTCGACCCACCTACCCTGCCTGGGGCTAAGCTGTTTAGGTTCCATCCAGTAACTTAAATTTAAATGATCTGTGAGAACTGTAGTCTCTACCTGTAGTAGTAAGTGTCTCCTTCTCCTGAAAGCTTCAACAATAGCAAGTAGCTCCTTTTCCCCTACCGTATAGTTTAACTGCGCCGCTTGGAACGCTCCGGATTCGATGGCCACCGGATGCTCTTGTCCTAACTCGTTCACCTGCGAAATTATGAAACCCCAGCCGAAGAACGACGCATCTGTTTGTAGTAGTGTCTTCAACGAAGGGTCAAAGTGAGCCAATACTGGCGCCCTACACATCCTATCCTTCAATTCTTTAAAGGCTCTTTCCTGCTCTACTCCCCAAACAAACGGCACATCTTTCCTGGTGAGGTCATTGATCGGTTTAGCAATCTTGGAGAAGTTGGGGACAAAACGCCGATAATAACTGACAACTCCCATAAATCCCCTACTCTCTCGCAAGTTCTTAGGACGGGGAAAAGATACGACAGCATCGATGTAATCCGGGTTACTGGAAATTCCCCTCTGTGAAACCACGAACCCCAGGAAGACTACCGAATCTCTCTCAAACTCGCACTTACTGGCTTTAACGAACAAATTCGACCTCCGAAGCACTTCAAACACCTTCGCCGTAGTTCCCCTCAGTTCTTCCAACGTTTGACCGTAGATGAGTATATCATCTATGTAGACTACTACTCCCTTTCCCAGCAGCTCTCGAAAACTTTCATTCAAGAAGTGCTGAAACACAGCGGGAGCATTCCGTAGGCCATCTCGGACAACAAGAGACTCGAACATACCGTACTGCGTCCTGAACGCTGTCAGGTGTTCATGACCTTCCTTTACTCGTAGGAGTTGATAAGCCCCAATTAGGTCTAACTTGCTGAAGTACCTCGCTCTTCCCAGCTCTTCGGTTATCTGGCCGATCAGAGGCAGAGGATAGGCGTCGGGTATCGTTGCCTCGTTTAACTTTCGGTAGTCAATGACCATTTGCCATTGACCTTTCGCCTTCTTCGGTACCAAGAACATCGGTGATCCGTAGGGCGAATTACTGGGTCGAATTCTTCCGGCCGACATTTCGCGATCTAGGATGTCTCTCAGCGCACTTCTCTGATCTTCTCCAAGCGAGTAGAGTGGAGCAACCTTCAGGTTCGCCCCCTCCTTAAGATCAAACTCCAAATCATAGCTCCTCGAGGGAGGTAATTCCTCACCTCCCTTCCTTGGGTTAAAGACATCAATGAACGAGTGGTATTGTTCGGGAACCACCTGATACAATTCCTCCTGTTCCTCCGGACTCAGTTCATCCTGATCATCTTTGTCTCGGAGATCTATCGCGTCCGTCGGAGTTGGCAGACCTATGGCCGCTAACTTCGCCGCACTTGGTGGGGTTGGGATGGGAAATTTCACCGAGTTGTCTCTTCCATCAAGGACAACCCCTTCCTTCCTCATCCAATCCCACCCTATCACAACATCTGCGTCGCAGAGCGTTGTTACATCGAGACGAACAGATCGCACTTTGGCGTCCTTCGTCAAACTAAATCCGACTTCGACAAACTCGGTGATAGGTCCCGCGACACTCACCGAGCCGTCGAACATGTGGACGGGTACGCTCACCTGATATTGTCTCCTTTCTGCGCCTATCTTCGTCGCCGCTCTAGGACTTATATATGAACAAGTAGCCCCGGTGTCCCAGAGCGTAGTTAGCTTCATTCCATTAATTAAAATGTCCGATTTAGGTTGATCTCTGGAAACGGAAGGGATGAGGAGATGATTATCGACATTGCATGAACAAGGGGTACTGAGTGGTGTATTTTTGTATTCACAATCCTCTGGCTCCATCAGTTGCGTCTCTTTTATAGGTTTGGGAATGGTGGCCGAGAGAATATGGCGGACCCGCCGAGCCTCGCCTACTGCGACAGGTCCTCTTCTTTTCCCTGGTTCTCTTCCAAATCTACTTCTCCTCCAACCGCATTCAAGTTCCTCCTCTGTCCAAGAGGTACTGCATTCCCTCCCGATCCTCCACCACGTTCTCCGAACTTCTCTCCCCATGGAGGCAACAGTCCAACCTTAACCTTAGCCTCCCTTACAGGACATTCCTTCAGCCAATGTCCTGTTTCACCACACTCCGTACACTTCCCCTCTTTCCTCCTTGTCTCCCTCAGATCGGAGCTTGGCCTAGGCCATTTTCGGCGAACTTCGTCGATGTTCGGCGGCGCACTCCTTACCACCGTGGACGTCATGGCCGCTTGGACACCAACCTGCGCCGAAGGTTGTCCCTTTTCCCATTTCTTCTCTTCTTTCTTCTCCGTCCTCTGACTTTCCACCACCGTAGTCGTCTTTGCCCCCCCTTCCCTCTTCCTCTCTGCCTCCTTCTCCACTTGCCTCCTCCACAGGCGGTTGTCCAAGGGAATCACAAACTCCAATAGCTCCTTCACCGTCCCAAACGATCTACCATGTCTTGCAATTTCATCCAGAAGGTGTGATTTTAGACCTTTC